GTGACAATGGGAATGTGACATTAGTTTTTCAAAATCTTTTTACATAAAATCAGGAAAAAATTTAGGAAAAACGAGAAATTCATGTTTATTTCGTATAGTTTTCATTTTTTACTGATTTTATTCAAAAAGATTGTGGAAAACTTGGTAATTCTACATTCCCATTGTCACTTTTTCTTCTCTACATGATGGCGGTATTAAATTTAAAATCCAACGTTTCTTTCCTCTGGAATCATCATCAATTTTTTTTTTAAATACGGACCTGCTTTTTTTCACTGTGTTATTGAAAAACAGTAGGAATCGGTTTTAGGATGCCCAAAGATGACATAATCGCAAATAAAAAATCCAGGTCCATATTTAAAAAAAGGAAGTTGAGGATGGCCGCCTGAAGACGAAACGTCGAATTTTAAATTTAGTAGCACCATCTTTCAAAGGGGGAAAAGTGACAACGATGAAGTGACATTTATTTTAAAATTGCTCTCCAAATAAGCTCAGGAAAAAATAAAAACGATTTTACAAAATTTCGGGTTTTTCCGAATATCTCCGGAAGTATTCGGAATCTTTCTAGTTTCAAAGCGGAATTATATTGGTCATAAAATTGCGCAACTTTGCCATAATTTAACCGACCCCGTATATCTTACGGTTACCGATATCCCAATGATGAGGCTCGAATTTGGGCCACCCTGTACTTGCAACCAGCAGAATCATCAGACCTTCTACATAGTTCCTCACAATATATGCATAAACATCTATGAATTATAGCTTTGTAAAAGCAACGTTGTTTTTTTTGCAGTTTGAAGAATTAATTTATCAAGGACACAACCCGGTATGGTTTGACATTTGACAGGTCAGTACCACTCCCATCAACTACTATTTAAGCATCTGTTCAGAAATTTCTTGCCTTGCTAAAGCACCTTATAGTCCATTTGGCCGCTAGCTCTTCTACTATAACATTCCAGTCCTTGTTGGCCACATTTTAATTTTTTCTGAGAATATTTACCATTTTACTCGTCAAAATTGAAGGTAATAATGTTCTTGGTTCATGATTATGCTGGTCATTTTTAATAATGAGGCATGATGACTTAGTGATCAGTCTTGCCTTGCAGTTATAAGTTGCACAGCATCGCCAATAAGTTCCATGAGGTCGTTGGTAGTTTATATTATAAACAAAATCTTCGTAAATAAGTTGTGGATGCTTGGATCCGGCACAAAAATGAATTAATACTAAAATAAAAAAAAACAAAATTAAAATATTTAAAAAAAAAATGAAAGTTAGGTAAGTAGTGGAAGTTCTCCGACAGTTCTCTAACTGGATATAAAGAACACACAAAGTCTCAATCACGCAATTTTGTTACGGGTGGAAATTTTTATCAGGGCAATTTTCTAACCAAACTAATATTTTTGAGCTTCCCTCATTTTAAACTTGGTAAATTTATCAAAGTTTCTTCCGTTTTGTTTGTTGGTAGATTTGTAATTTCCGTTGGTTCAATTTATTTCATAATTTTATGGTCCGCATTTTAAATAATTTAATTAATAATAAGTCCCTATTGTCGGTAGAAATAAAGGTCAAAATCGAGCGAATTCTCTATAACCAATAAAAACTACAGTAACTAACAAACTATATTCACTAGTATCAAATTGCACCCCCAAATTGGGGCGCAAATAGGTGCTTGGCGGCCCTTTCATACATAATAATAGTTTTCCTAATCAGTGCGCAAAGTTATGCCCGCACGCAAAAGCAGTTAGACGTACGATGCAAAGCGGAGCGGATAAGCTTTAAGTACGGGAAAATTACCTTGCGCACGCTTTAGGAACAATATTTTTTCTTCGAGTGAAATAACTATAGATTTTTGTTTCAATTTTTATTGGCATCTAAAACAAATTATAACTACCTATACATACTAAATAATCTAAGGATTATATTGAAAAATTTTGCCGCACAGTGTGTGAGAGAGTGCTACTTTGCGCACGCAAATTAGTGCGCAAAGTAGCTGCGTTGCACACACTCTCAGAAACAAACAATTTCAGTGCTCTACTTGCCAGCCTTTTTCAGTACTCTACGTGCCAGCCTTTCAGGCAACAAACTAACCTCACTTATAGAGTTGTGATTAATCAAAAATATCATAAGAATAATAATACCTAATAATAATTAAATAAAAAAAATATGGGTATGTATAGATCGTTTCACCAGGGTTCAAACTTTTGATATCGAACGTGTGATAACTTAAGAAAAAAGGATTGTCGTAGATTAATTCATATGACACATTCAATTTTTTGACCAATTAAAATGAATGATTTCTGGGTTTAAGAGCCGACGAACGTTTTTGACGTCATTGATTTGTTTCAGTCATTTTCCATTTACCAAAAAAGGAAGGCAAAAAGTATGAATCCTGGTGAAACAAAGCTTACCTTCTTCATTATTTTATTTGACATCCGATTTAACATTTATTTATATTCAGTCCTTGTTGGCCACATTTCAATATTTTCTGACAATATTCACAATTTTACTCGTCAAAATTGGAGGTAATGTTTTTGGATTATGATTATGCTGGTCATTTTTAATGATGACGCACGATGACTTAGTAATTAGTCTTGCCTTGCAGTTATAAGATGCACAGCATCGCCAATAGGTTCCACAAGCTTTTTTGAATTGTAACGTATAAACAAAATTGTCGTGAATAAGTTGTGGATGCTTGGTTCCGGCAGAAAAATGAATTAATACTAAAATAAAAAAAGTTGAAAAGTTAGGTAAATAGTTGGTATGAGCCGCCAAAATCGCCACTTGTTGGTTTAAGAATATGTCGAGGTTCGACCTAAATTTAAACTCTACAAAACTTCGGTGAAGATTAAATTAAAATTTCATTTCATACTGTGAATATAGGATTGAAAATTGAATAACCTAAATCTTTATATAAACTCACATAATAGTTATAGCGTACATTCAACCTCTGGTATGTCCGTCCAACAATTATTCACCGTTGCGTCACTTCACTCACACTCGTCATTCAAAATAACGCTTCCTGTGATCGTATGGAAAGTAATATATTTACGCATGATTTTCATATTTTCAATTTTTGGTGTTTTCCATGGTTCAGGGAGAGCATATACCTACATTCTGTCTAAGTACCTATAGGTTTCAATTTGAAACTATAGTGATCTAGCTTCTTGTTAGGCTCACAGAACTTTTCCGTGAGTTAAAATATAAATTCGGATAGGTCCAGTTGTAGAAGCCAATTGACAACTTCCTATAAAATTTTTCAAATTTTGAATCTACTGAGCCGATACTTGGTGAAAATTGAAATCGACGGCTAAGAGAAAAGAGAAACTACTTTTTATAAAAGCGTTCTGATGAAATATAGTTATGTTCTTTTCCCAACCATAAATTTTTCAAATATTATTAAAAAAGTAATTGAATGTCAGAGCGAAATAAGTACCACTGACCACTCACTAACTCATCACGAGATCTCTAAAACTATACGCCCGATTCACTTGAAATTTAGAATATACTTATACCTACTCCTTTCTCGACATAGACACCCACTAAGAACGGATATGCCGAACTGATTTGTGTAACACTAGCGGAATGTTGTCTGTGAAAAGTCACACATGACATTCCTCCGTTCCTGAGGAATATTTCCTGTATACATTGTCTACAGAAGAACATTTCATAGGAAACTGCAGTCATACGCAATGTTTAATGTGGAATATTTGTACAGAATTTCCTGCGGAATCTCTCCTATGAACTCTTTCCTTTCAAAGAGCTTCGCATAACGTTCAACACCAATTTCAAATCAAATCAAAATTGTCCATGATATTAATTTAAAAATATATATATACCGGGTGACAATGAAACTACTACCCACGGCGGCATTTCTTAACGGCTCGAGATAGAAATATGCAACTCGGTTTGTTGATAGGGATGAAAATTGTGAAGAATTTTAATATAAAAACAATTGAATGTCTTTTCCGGTTTCACCGGAAATGGCATTGACTTTGTTATTTTAAATGGGTATATTATCTTTTTTTTTTGGACTCTCTGAACAAGTTTAAATAACTTTTGTCTAACATTCCCTATGTCAAAAATTGATTGTTTTTGAAATAGAGTGGCTCAAAAATATGTCGTAATTCCTATTTGTTTGTATTTTACGTGAAAACTGCCATTTCCGGTAAAACCGGAGAAGACATTCAATTGTGTTTGTTTGTTCACAATTTTCTACCCTATCAACAAACCGAGTTGCATATTTCTATCTCGAGCCGTTAAGAAATGCCTCCATGGGTAGTAGTTTCATTGTCACCCGGTATACCGTGTATATACATACCTGTATATGAATTCACCTGCATTCCGACGAACACTGCGAATATTTGGTGAATTTTTAGGCCAAGTGAATTGAATCAAAAATAAAACTTAGGCTCTAATCAAATTAACTTTTTTATTCACTTCTTGCTTAACGTACAAATTTATTACGACCGGAGTTACGAAACTGCACTAAAATACACGAGGCTTCGCTAATTTATACAATCTAAATATGAGAAAATCAAGAAACCGAGAATTTTTCTGTGAAAAAGTTTGGTCATCTTGCGAGCTCTTGCGTTAGTGCAAAAAACATATCGCTGCTCGAGTAAGGAATTAGGAATTTATTACTTCAATTTGAAAATTACTAAATCACATTATTTAATAAAGAAATAATATAAAACCGTCATTATAAAAAATAAAAACTAATAGTGAAAAAAACTAAAATATTTAACGTTAAGTTCGTACAAAAAAAAACTTAAAAAGAACATTAAAAATAAACTCAAAGTCTGGTTTTTTATTTAAGATAAAGTCCCAAATCAAAAATTTAGTAAAGTCTGTTTTTTTCTTAAAGATAATTCCCCAAGTCAAAAATTTAGTAACCATGTTGGCAACACATGCTTTTTCCACGTAAAATAATTGAAAGACAATTTTACATTGTATTGCCAACATAATGCCATTTTGACTTTTATCTTTAATTTTGACTTTATTGCTAATTTAAATTTCGTGTAAAACATTTCAACTCATTGTTTTGAATTTTTTCCATTCTCTTATGTCGTTGATTAGACAACCTGAACCACTCTCCCACACATTTTTCTACATTATGTAGGGTACTCGAGTTCTGAACCATTATAGTCTCTGAAAAAAAATAAATAAAAACTGGTATAATGTGCAAGATTTGAATTGTTTTTACTTATACCTAACGGATCGTTTGCCCTGCTTTATACTATGTAAATTATGTTGTACATTCATTGTTTATCGGTACGTCAGTGCACGCCATTTCTCTCATGTCGTGATAGTTATTTATGTATCAAGAGAATTATGAGAGTGATAATATCCCAGGGCAAAGTTTGTGTCACCAATTGCCCGTGGGTATTAACACCTGATAATTCCCATAGTTTCTATTTTCTCTCAAAGTTTTACCTATTCAACTAATTCGGTGAATTTTTCTTTAAACGGATGAACGATGCAAATTTAAACCATAGCTAAACAAAGTTCGGCATCATCTGCTATTTACTAGGTTCTTCTAGCATTCATAACTATATAGAGGTTAGGTAAGCTTAGGTTAAGTCGGAGATAAGATATGATGGCTCAGACTATTATCTGCCGGACATTCGCAAAGAATATGTGCATCTAGCTCCTCGTCCTCCATGCATAGCCTGCAAAAGCATCATCGGCCAGTTCAACCCTGAAAATATGTTGTTCTAGCCGACTACTGTCCAGTGTATAAGCCGATTAGGGTGTTTCGCTTAGTTCTGCCAAGCTCCAAAATCCTTCCAATCGAGCGTTCTTTCACCGGTTCTATTATGATTGCCCTTGCTTGTTATCCTTGCCAGGTTAAGCCAATATTCTCAGGCTTTGTTGTCCGCCCAGGTTTTGATGGTTTGATTTACCATGTTATGAGCAATGCCCAGCACTAGCTCTGTCCCTGTGAAGTTGGTTTCGGCTCCCCCTCTGGCAAGGAGATCCGCAATTCCATTGCCCTCGAGGCCAGCGTATCCCGATACATTGGGGTTAAATTGTTTTTCTTTCCTAATTTGCTTAGATCCTCATGACAGCTCTAGACTGTTCTTGAATTACAGTAGATGGAGCTAAGCGCCTCGAGAGCGGCTTGGCTGTCAACTATATTTTCATGGTTTTGTAGGTTTGGAGTCGATTCTGCAGCCTCCTCATACCCATTTCAATGGCATGCACTTCCGTTTGAGAGATGGTTGCATTGTTGTCTATACTGATAGATAACCTAGTTTCGGTATTGCACACCCGCTCCCACCCCATTGTCTGTTTTCGATCCATCCGTGAACAGACATAGATCTGCTTTTGATAGGGCATGCTCATTCTGCACCCACTCTTACCTTTTTGGGAAGGCCACTGTCTAGGGTAGGGCGCTTGTCGTGTGTTTCTGGCATAAGGTTCGTAGGCACCCAACTACTGTGTGTTTTGATAAACTCCAGCAGTTAAGTGCCTTCCACGTATCATTTGTCATCCACTTGATCTCTGTTCGTATGGTATACAGGGTGTATCAGGTATGAGTACAAATATTTCAACATGAGATAATATGGCCCATTTCAAGCTAAAACTGTCCTATTAACCATGAGTCAATTGTTATTATTTTCGGAGTTATCGTAGAATTTAAATTTATAAAAATGTTAACAACTTGACAACATTGTACAGGTATTATCTCTGCCAGGATATAAATGTAAATAAAACTGGTAAATTTTAAAAGTTTTTTTTTTTGCACGGAGTTCATTTATCTGTTTACGTTTTGGTTTGTTATTGACTTTTAAATAATGTAAATAATAACTTGCATTTTTATCACTTTTCTAGTAAAAATAAAAAATGTGCCGTTTTATTAAGTTCCGACTTGCACTCAATGACATTTTTGCAATAAACATTCAAGAGAATAATCAAATAATACTTATAGTCCAGGAGTATACTTCTCATTAGTAGACCTATTTTTATCACTGGAAAAAAAGGGCCGTGCATTCGTAAGCTCTAACGCATTTTGCGCCTCAACCCATCGGAAAACGCCCCCTAAAAATATATGAATTTTGCTTAGAATTACTAACCCAACAATACTATCCATGTTGTCTGTCTGACTGGGAAAATAAGTGCCGAAAATCGTCACTGCCTCCTAGCCTATTAATCAGCTACTTGCCAAATCCTTATTATGAAAATATTAATTTTTGTTAAAAGGTTCCCAAAACACTAAAATCAACACGCAGATTTTGGACACTCACACTTTCTGTATCACGCAATCTTTGTAAAACGGGCCCAATGTTCTTTCATCAGGTGGGTGCTTTTCTTTTGGGAAATCTTTCCCTAGTTTCCCTGTAAATTCTAGCGGCCTAATGAGCATTTTGCAACGATTCTGCCCAAACAAGTTCCGCATATTCGACGTTTGTAAACATCTTATTTTCAAAAAAGAATGAATTTGAATTACGCGCGTTTTCCAACTAGACAAGACAAATAATCAAATTTATTCAGTTCAACCAAGGTTCAACGTTCAACCACCTATTCTTTATTGTGCTATGTTGCCAGATGTTTAGATACCTATTTACGAGTGAAATTTGTATGTTGTTTTTTCAAATTTTTGTTATTGTTGTTGACTAAAAATGCATAATTACCTAATAATTGAATACACTAAATTTTCTCACATCTGATAATGAATGAATTCTTTATCTTTAATATATTCGTCAAAAAATGTCGAAACTTCAAAGGCCTTTTTCTTAAAAATGGTTGAGTTTGGACCCCATGTTGTAAAAACTTTTTTTGTTCAAAATGGGCCATATTTTCACGTGTTGAAATTTTTGTAGTCAAACCTGATACACCCTGTATTCTGTAGGTTCTTTCCAGGACCTCATTTTGCAGATCGGTAAAGGGGGAATCGCCATTGCTGCTGTTGGCGTATAGCTAAAAACTTTTGTTATTGCCAAACAGGTTTGTCTTTGTAGTCCGTTGAGCTTGGTTTGAGCCGTGCGCTGTTGCCCCTTTTCCCAATAGACTACTGACCATTGATCTGATGACCATAATAAATAACCAATATATTTGCCCAATTGACCTATCTTTTTTTACCTTGACTGCGCGCGCAACTCGTGGGTTGCATGTAAGCGTCCAATGAGAAACGAGTTTGTTACAGGCTTGCGCCATATTCTTATTCAAGGGTCAGTTCAGAATTAATCGTTCCTTCTTTCTTTGTAACGTGTAATTCGACAAAGAGCAAACTAATACTTTACGTATTACTTTTAAACTCACCGCAGTTTCGTTTAAGGTTATGTTAGATTATACTTGACATATTCCTTTGCAATTTCATTGTGCAATGTTGCCGGATGAAACATTTATCAAAATAAAAGTGCAAACGATGTTAGCATACACTTTAAAATTGAAATTGTCTGATTTAAGGCGTTGTTAAACATTTGACACTATATCACTTCTTTAATGGTATAATGCTCGATTTGCATTCTCTGCATTTGTTCAGCAACAATACAATCTGGTTACATTGCAACCCACTAGTTGCGCACGCATCTTTTATTATTTTCTAACTTGTATTTATTACAATTAAGCTCTCTTTTTCTATTTATGCGAGATAGGTCAATTCCATATGATTTGCCACAGATCCTGTGGCAGGTCCATAGTGAGTAGCTAGCATTCTGTTTCATTTTTGCCAGATGGAAGATAAACCTCTTATCTAGAGTAATTCCTAGAGATTTGACTTCGTTTGCAAAGGGTACCACCACCCCTCGTAGGTTAAGACGCAAGTATTGTGTGTATTATTTTCTGAAGGGTTTCGGAGAGTCTACGCCCTACGTTCTGATTTGCTCCTTATTACATTGGCCATGTTGTTCGCTCAAGCATGTCGACCTCCCACAGTTGTATTATAGCTAGCAGGTTGTTCACCAATAGAGACCACAGAAGAGCAGAGAGAACCCCTCCTTGCGGGCAGCCCCTGGCAGTCCTAAACTGTACTATTTCCCCCTGTAGGGTCGTCGTTATATAGCTATTATCATCTTGCGAATCCTCTCACATAAGAGGCTAATATCCTATGAATATAGCCGATTTATAGAGGAAGTTATTAAGAGTGTTCTTGAAGGCTCCCTCTATGTCGATGAACGCTGCTAGCGCAATCTCCTTGTTGTCAAGGGACTGGCTGATTTTTGCTACCAATCTCTGAAGAGCAAGTCTCGTCGATTTGCAACTCTGATAGGCGTACTGATGAACATATTGGGTTTTTGGACAATTTTGTGGAAATTAAAGTCAAAGAAAAATTGAAAAAAAAAAAAACACCCTTGTATAAAGACGCTGACATAACGATAAACAATGCCTGTCTAAACAATAATATATTATTAATAATATTCACCTATAAAAGCTCGGATGAAATTGAAGTTTTGCAATTTATAATTTCCTCTTAATCCGACATAGGAACATTCTTTGCCCAGTTCATTTGTGAATATTCTTGGAAGTGATCTATTCACGTGGTCTTTAAAATCGCGCCCTCCAATGCGCTTGATAAACTGGACCTGAAATGAAATAACGTTATTTTATTTTTGCCTAATATAATAGGTATGTTTATATATTTTCAAAAAATATAACTGTTTTCAAAAATCGCATTGAAGTTTTTTTTAAATATAATAATTTATACTTACATAAATATTTTTGAAGTGGTCATTCTCCATCATTTTATCAAATTGCTCCACTTCCTGGGTGGATGTCAAAGGTAAATATTTATCTAAAATTTCCATGCCATCGTCTGCAGTTACTTTGCCTTGCTCAGAGCTGATAGCTCTTAGTCTGCTCTCAATGCTGATTATATATTTTTGCATTTTTTCAATAGTGAGGCCAAATGTTTCTGAAAACAAAGTACTGGGAATTAAGATCAAGCATCCACGCTATGGCGAAATGAATTGACCAAAAACCAACTTCCGCGACAAAGGATGATGTGCACTAGGCAAAGATTAGATTCATGAATTAATGCATCAAATGAACGCATCAACGAATAGTGACTACGCATGCACATTAGCATGTAGACTGTCTCAAAGCACAAATATTGTGTCATACCTATACAGGGTTAGTTAGTAAGCGCGCGGTGGTCCATATCTCCTATAGGTACTAACGAAGATAGGAGAAAAAACTAAATACCTACAAAACTTGTAGATAAACATAAGTACTACATTCCTGAATTATTTTTCAGTATACAGGGTGGCCCAATAACTAGTAGTGACACAAAGTTATGTTTTTTTTAAATTACTTCCGCTGTATATTATGAGATTTCTGGATTCTGCGGAAAATTCTAGACATATTTCATGTATAATGTCATATACCTATCTTCAACGGTCTCGGAAATATTGACAGTTGAAAATTGACTTTGCATCTTTGACAGACTGTGAAACCTAAAGGATTAATTTTAGAGGAAAACGGATTTTACATTCCTATCTTAGATTTTCATAAGCTATCATTTGACACCAACTTTGAATTTAATCGAAGATTAATAATTTAGGCGGAATTTTTAATCATGGATTAAATTCAATATTGGCGTCAAATGATAGTTTATGAAAAACTAACACAGGAATGTAAAATCCGTTTTCTTGTAAAATTAACCGTTCAGGTTTTACAGTCTGTCAAAATTACAAAAAAGTCAGTTTTCAACTGTCAATTTTCCCGAAACAGTTAAAGATAGGCATATGACATTGTACACGAGATATGTCTAGGATTTTCCGCAGAATCCATAAATGTCATAATATACAGGGGGAGTATTGGCCATGAGATTCTTCGAAGGCTAGGGCAAACAAGCCTCGATAAAAAAATCCCTGGTCCTTCCAGTTGAAGCAGCGTTTTCCTAGCAACGCACATTTTACGCGACGTAGAACGTAATTCGGTCGGTGTAAAACGCTGAGGACATGTCTAATGAAAATCAAATGGAAGCATTTTCCTACACTGCGTAGAAACGACTTGCGTTAGCGTAAAGGTACGGTTTGTTAGGTTAGTACGTGACGCACAACTGACAACGTAAACTTCGTCATTGGTTCAGGTATGACATCTCTGGGTATGACGTACACCCGTTTTCTGACGTCAGAAAACGGGTGTACGCAATGAACTATAACCAAAAACTGGAATGCGAACACATATTGACGAACGTGAAGCCTAGTGCCGCTGCTGCGGAGGGGATACCTGTTTTTGTCGCACTCATTATGTTAAATGGCGGAAATTGCTTCCAACGCGTATTCCAATTGATGAAACCTGTGAAGTTAAATATGACAAAACTTTCCAAAATGTCATATGTCAGCGAGCAACAGAAAAAAACAACATTCCCCTTTGTGGCATCTGTCTTTCATGGCTACATTTTTTTGGCAGATATGGCATGGCAATGTGTGCGCATTCCAGTTTTTGACTATAGTTCATTGGGTGTACGTCTTTCCTGAACCATGACGACGTTTACGTTGTCAGTTGTGCGTCGCGTACTATCCTAACAAACCGTACCTTCATACGGTCGACGCAACTGAACGACTGCTCGGAGAGCAGTCTATTCAGTTTCACGCTGCGTGTTGGCAAAGAAAATACTCCTGTTGTATTATATTTATATGCCTCAATGTTAAGCCAAGCTTTTCAGGTGGCAAAATAGGATGTCGCACGCGATTACATGATTTCTTGATTAAATCCTTTCTCACAAGATCGAAGGAGAAATGAGAATTGCTGCCTTGTAACTCTAAAATATTCTTTTCAAATTTTACTTCGTCGTCGAGCAGATGTTTATGGATAAGTATTCTAAATGCTCCTTCGCTTCTTTTTTGAAATAATTGACTAGCAGTCAGAGTGAATTCAATGGTTGAAACTAGTTTTCTGACTGTTTTCAACCAATGAAATTCGCTCTGACTGGTTTGTGATTTCTGCAGAAGCAGACCTAATAATAAAGCCTCGAATAAATCCAAAGCTAATTTCTTTATTGATATACTCATCGCGACGATCGGGACACAACTGATAATCCTAGGAAAACACTTTTACGCAGCGCATTGGATGTTGCGTCGCGTCGGCCGTATTACGTTCTACGCCGCGTAAAATGTGCGTTGCTAGGAAAACGCTGCTTGAGGGTTGAGGCATTAGACTAACACTCTGGAAGTTGGAAGTCGAATAAAAATCTAGTGGTAAAACCCCCAATCAAATACCTTAGACACAAAACCGTAGAAATTAGTGACCCAAGCAAAGGGAAAGAACTATGTTTCTCGATTTAGATGCGAGAATGTCATTATTCCCGCATGAAAAATCATTGAAGAATGAAGCTCATTCTTCAACGATTTTTAGTGACATTTAGTTTTCAAAGTATACCTATTGATACCTTCAAAATTGTCAAACCTTTTAAAATAATAAAATCCATCTGTCAGTTGGTTGGTAAGTAAGTGTCACCAACTGACATATTTTGCAAAGAAAAAATCCCGAACTAATAGCAGGAGAGCCGGTAATATTAACGGGTATGTGATCGTTGCAATGGATAATTTTCACATACAAGAATAGCTCATAGTTACCTTTAAACTAAATGGATGGGTGGTCTCGATTCTCATGGCCACAACCCTTTGATGGCTGGGCGTAAACTATCCCTCTTTTTCCGAAGGAACAATGTTATCGTTTCAATAGTTGAAAATTGGTAGATATATTCTTTAATATGTCTTCTCAAATAAAACATAGGGTGGCCTCGATTTTGACGGCCGGAAATGATGGCAACCCTCATTGAAAGTCGAGCGCACGCGTTATTTTGCTTGCTAAATACAAATTTTTGAAAGTGACAGCCTTCAAAGTCACTTTCAAAGTTAAAAGAGGACTCTGTGAAGAGGAGTTTGCATGCAGCTGTAGGTCTTTAGGCAAAAAAATAAACATGAAATTGTGTTAATAAAGTGTTTGCCGCATATGCTGAGAACCCCCTACACCGCAAGGTACTTCTTATTTGTCTCCTCACTCATACCACCCACAGGTCTTTCCGCACGTGAATTCCATCATCTTAGACTAACTCAAATATCGCAGATAAATAACGACCTGGAGATAATAGAGGACTGGGGTAACAAAAACCTTGTACAGTTCAACGCACAGAAAACCCAAGCAGCTCTGTTTTCAAAAAAGAACAGCACCGGTGAGCCAAACATCATGTGGGCCAACATGTGGAAGTGACCACTATTTTCTATGGACCATAATCCCCTTTCTTTATCGGAGATAAAGCAGCGGTATCAGCAAGATGAAGAAAACATTATGGATGTGTGACATAATAACTGCGTTTAAATGAAATTTAAATGAAAATAACCTACACATTGACATAGTCGTAACGTCATAGGAAATTTATACATTGCAATTCACTTGTATGCTGAATGTTTATATGAATCAAATTTAAAACGCTATGAAAACAACTTTGTTTGAAAAGTATAGTTTGGAATACGCTATACCCATAATACTTCAAATCCCATTTCCGAAGCACATCAATCTGGGGGACAAAAATTAAATGAGGAATATTTAAGTAATAAATAAAAGGCTCTAGGTACTTAGATAATATTTTATTTCCCATTTCAAATCCCTAAAAAGAATTAAGTAACTATATATTTTTTAAGAAAGAAAGAGTTACATTTTTACTCGTTAAAATTGGCGGCAGTATTTTCTTTGGACCATGATTATGCTGGCCATTTTTGATAATAAGGACAGATGACTTAGTTAATAGCCTTGCTCTGCAATTCTTGAAATGTGCACAGCATCGCCAGTAGGTTCCATAAGTTTGTTTGGAATGTAAGGTATAAACAAAATCACCGTAAATAAGTTGTGGTTGACTGCGTCCGGCACAAAAATGAATTACTCCTGAAATTGAAAAAACCACAATAAATCAAAAATCTAGTTGAAAAAAAGTACCGTTTATTAAATCGCCGGAAAAATAATTTACCTATAAAATCATCCTCTTATACAATCCAAGTACTTAAATTTGCCTTTTTTTTTTCAATCACAGTAGGTAGTTACATTTTAACTAAATATTAAAAATTTCTATGTTTCATTTGGATTAATAGGCTGGTCATTTGCACCAATAACTGACAATTGATTTCTAGGTTCTACAATTTTTTTTTTGCGGTGAATCCAGGAGTTCTCAAAACTTACGACTTACTATAAAGTTTACATACCCAAATGAGAAAAATCGCTTATCAAATACGTTAGAGGAAGTGGCCAACTTTAGGATATACATATATGTACTAGCTTGGTCTAAGGAAATATTGATGATTGATGATTCTTGATTTTATAATAATTACAACATTCGATTAATTCGTTTTCCACATTGTAAAAGTTAGATTGATTTCATCATCAAAAATCGGAGGTATTATCTACATGGTAAAAGGCGTAGCGATGGTATATAAATATATTTGACGAAAAACTTCTCCCATCGCCGAATCGTTGAAAGAAAACATTCAAAAATACCGGAACTCAACAGAAAACTATTAGAACCTTGATTGTTGGACGCTCATGGAAACAAATGGTTTAGGGTAAGCACATAGTGGAGCGACGAGCAAAGTAGTGAGCAGTGAGGAGAGCAAAGCAGCGAAAACTAACACACGAGATTAAATTGTTTGACACATAGTGAAGAGCAGTGCGGAGATTTAGCAGCGCTGTTAATATCGAGCAAAGCGACGCGTTCGAGCAAGTTTGATTTTTCTACTTTGCTCGTTTGTCTCTGTGTTGTAAAAATAGACGTTGAACAATTAATAAGTAGTAGTTTTGTTAAAAATCCATTGTGGAACCAAAGATGAGATACCCAACATCATAACCGACATATATTGGATAAGTTGTGGGATGATGTAGCAAGAAAAATGAAGTCAACAATCAAGTGAAAAATGAATTATATTATTAATTGATTGCTGCTGGACCAATTGGGATTATGGTAAAGTTAGTCCATTTTTTCACCAATCTTTGTTCCATTTTCTCCAAAATGTAATCAAAAGTTTTAATAATCATTAAAAGATAAGAGTGAAATTTTTCTGGATGTTGCCGTAATTCCTCATATAAATGGTGATATTCGCCTAATCGAAGTTTGCTTCTGTTTATATGGTGTGCACTACACCTTCTTTTTTTCTTTCTGTCTTCTCATTAAATACCAAAATTTTTAAAGACGACGTTTCGGTTAAAACCAAATTATTCATTTTTATCTTTTTCACTCGAGTATTAACTCGCCACTATGTGCATACAATTCTTTCATCCACTCTCTGCTCAATTGACGCTCTGCTCTCCGCGCTGCCCGCTGCTCTGCTCGCCGCTCCACTATGTGCTTAGCCTTACCTGAACAACTCTTTGTAGTTCAAATTATAATAATTACAAACCCATATCCTTTATAAACATAGTCAAGACATATTAAAAAAATAATCAAGGCGGAAAAAATTGAAATATGAATAAATATTTCTACCCGAATAAACAGAAAGATCTAGCTAGTTAATTACATTATTTATTACTTCATATTTGTATGTTAGTATTTTGTCTTTTTTATTACAGACACGGTTTGACTCGTCAGAATTTGAGGCAATGTTTCCTTTGGCTCGTGAGTATGGTTGCCATTTGTAACGATAACGGACGATGACATAGTAATCAATCTTGCTTTGCAGTTTTTAGAAGCCTTTGAACAACATTCCCAATAGGTTCTGTAAGCTCGTCTGTAGGTCACCGTATAAATATAATTTTGATAGATTATTTGAGCCCCCTTATTGCGTCCGGCACATACATGAAGTATGCCTAAAATAAAATTGAAATTATTGTGCCGAAAACTTGGACATAATACTACTTTTTTCGAATATGAAATACCAGACAAACCAGTATTGAATAAAAACTCTTGTATAACAATTAAGGTTTATTATTTTTAATAAATTTAAGTGTCTAACAGACTAAGTACTATCACCGGTAATCGAAAATGTTCATAATAGGCTAATAAAAATTGTTACAATTTATTTTTTTCAATCAGATTAGGCAGCAATTTTAGTTTATCGATAAAGACAGTTCAACACTGAAAAGCATATATGAAATTTTGAAAAATGAAATAATTACGCCACATATTTTATCTAATTTATTACACGGTTTCTGGAATTCGAAGGAATAGCTCGGTTGGCAATCACCAGCACAGCAAGATCTAGAATTCACTAGCTGTCGAGTTTGCTATCGCGTTTTTTTTTGTCCATCTGAGCTGCAGAATAGCATAAAGCCTTCTGAGATCTATTTAGGTAATTATTTCGGTCCAATAATTTAGAAGCAAGTTGAGAGCCATTTCCTATGGTTTTGGTATGTTTATCCTGATCTTCGAATATATCAGGGTACTTTTGTATTACTTTAGCTGCTATTATTCTACATGCGTGGATTGATATCTTGCGAGTGATTGTCCTCATTTCATCAATAATAACTTGAATAATCCGTTTTTCAATGACATTTTTTTTCAACCCCGCTATTACAGAACTTGGCATTCGATTCCAAGGAATGTCAAAGTTTTTCCATACTTCAAGACCTACTTGCGAATTTGAGGATCCAACAGCTCTTGGTATATTTGGGTAATCATGTACATGATTTTGCCCTAGGATATTGCTCTTTTTTGATGAACTAGTTTCTAGAATTATCGAACGTTCTGTTTTGCAAGAAACTCCTTCAATTGGAATAGGGGCTCTCCACTTTTCTCCCTCCTCTAGTAACATTAAAGTTTCGTTTTCGAGCAATAACAAAATTTCGTCCTCGTCTATTATAGTCCCATCTTTTTCTAGAACCAGTTTATCTCCATTTTTTTGCAGCTTTAAAGAGGCTAAAAAAAATTGAAAACATATAAGTTGTCTTTTGTAACTTGTTGCTGTCTAAATATTTCAATTATGATTCCACTGATATTTTTCAATTACTGAAATATGCTGTGAATTAAGTACCTATATCTAAAAAACAGTACATTATAAAAGGTACCCACCTCTCCAAATTAATTGATCATATATATCCGCTTCGTCTTTTATCATAATCAAAACTCGATTTTCTCTACGGGAGTCCACAACTTTGAATAAATGTACGATCGCAACTTCTAAAAACAAAAAAGAAAAATGAAGCGGTAGCAAAAACCAACAAAGAGGCAATGGGGATCAAGTTCGAGTCGTTCTATTTTGTATTGTTAGTCTTGTAACATTGTTGAAACAGATTGGAAACCCATATAATAAATTTGGGTTAGTTTTTACAATTGAATCATGAAAGGTTATAAAGTAAATACATAATATAGTGATAGTTAATTTAATTTTTCGGATTAATCCACATTTTTTTTTTCCAATATTTTCATGTCTCATTGATATAGAAAAGCAAATGGTAAATGTTGCAACCATGTGTTGCGTTGTAAAGTTTTTCGGAACGGTGGCGCGCCACGGAAAACGAAAGTAACGAAGCGGAGGGGAGATAGAAAATGAGAGACTAGACCAGAGAGAAAAAGGTTGTCTGCCATTGTTCATTATTCAATTTTTATTTTGTATGAAACTGATTGTTCTCTCCAATTTGTGATTAGTTTGCATGTCATAAGGAGCATTCACAGGTCAGTTAAATACATGTTATTTTGTTTTTGAGAGTTCAATTTTTACAAGTATTATTTTTTCATTTTTATGTTTTTTTGTTTGCTTATAACATTTTTTATAACATGTGCATTGTTCATGTATTTAACAAAAATCGTTTCATGTTGTAAACATTGCAGATAGAGAGTAAATTAAAACCTAGAAAAATTATGTGCTATCTTCTGTGCTGGGATTTTGATTTTTGGTATTCAGAGTGTGCCTTGAGGCCTTGTTGAATCTAGTAACAGTTTCCTACCCTGACAAGCGACTATCCAAGCAAACAAATTGAAAAATCAATCTAGAGATATTGGCTCAAAATAACAACTATAGCTGAGTAGCCTTTCGTACGGGACCTCAGTAACTGTTGGTGGAACTAGCTAACTAACCAAAAAGTCTTCAGTATTGAATATAGGTAGTGTTAATTGAATGTAATAAGTGGAATTGAAACTTTAGCACAAGAATAGGGACGGTACCTAATTTAAACTTTTATTGACTCACAATTATTAATAAAATGTCACATTATGTTTTTGATTTTTGAGGAATGTTAAATTGAGGGTTTCTCTGCCGTGCTCTTTCCCCTCGTTAGTTCCAGGTCGAGAACGGTACGATTTCGTTTCACAAATTTTTCGTTTATGTTACATATCACAACTTCCCTCATATTTCCCTAATTTTTCTATGTCAGGCGCATGTCCAGTAAGTGAAATTGGGTGAGTTTCCACAACGTAGGTCCTATTTGTTTTCCATTTCGTTTCTTAGAAGATTTGTTAAAAGGAGAGGTAATAGTAGGTGAATTCAAATCGTTCAATCTTGATGAACGAACCCGGGTATGTTATACTACAAGATTTTCATTCACTCTGTTTCATTTGTTGCTTCTACAAATTATGCGAAATTTTTATGACACTATTTCAAAATGACGTCATCCTTTTTCTCCAGGGAGCAGAAATACCTTGAAGATACGATCAATAACGCATATGCAAAGTTAATTGGTAGCGCCTCTACCGGGAATGAAAGAAGTTATTTAACGAACTAAGTGGTACATTTAAAGATGGCCTAATTCACTAGTGTTTTACACTGCCAAAATGTCATAGGAACCTAAAGCTAGTAGGTTGTCTGGAAATGGGTAGCTTGATGACGCATCTGGGGTGCCTTATGGAGATTTGGTCATGTTGAGGCACCCCCGATGAGGTCATAAAGTTATCAGACAACCTTCCTCTCTCAAACAACCATGCATAGGTACGGCCTGTTTCCTACTGACAAAACTCCGTTCAATGGCAAAATTATTCTCCCGGTTTTATTCAAGTTTGTTGCTTTCTGGTAATTTCGCCCATAAAATTTTTGACACTCATAGGTGTCATTGGCGAGATTGCCAAGCAACAAACTCCCCAAGTTATCTCCTATAACGGTAACTAGAGAATTCTTAACAATAATATCTGTGATAAAAATCCCTTGCTTTTACAACCTTTTCAGACCAGAAATCAGTTGTGCTTGATGTTGAATTATTCTAATATTATATAGTCTAGATACTAGGACTGTATCGTATGCTTTCTGTAGGTCCACAAATGTGCGGTGGGTTTCCAAATGTCTAGCAGATCCCTTTTCTATGACTTGTTTTGGCCAAAATTCGTTGAATGTACCTGATCTTCCTGCTCTAAAGCCGCACTGCTCTTCTTCTTTCTCTTTATAACCTTCTCCAATGAGATCACGTAAGATTCTACAGTATAGTCTGCTTAAGGCGGCAACTCATTAGCAACACGCCACGCGATGCTATACCACGCCACGTCATCCGACGAAAATGTATGCGTATATTCTTCCATTTATTTACATGTGCCGCGTACACACTTGCCACACGTCATACGACGTCATTGTACGCCACGCCATCCGACGTGTGACAATTTCAAATCCCCAGATGCTGCCCGCGCGTGTGGGTACGTGTAGATGTTTCCTGACCGCTTCTCTAGCCCCGCCGCAATCTGTTTCTGAATTTATTCAATATTTTGTCGCGTCGCAAATAGTAATGAGCCATATTGTTCTCAATTCCTGTTTATTTTGTGCACCCAGAATCTTCTTTTTCTTTCTTCTGTAAAATCAGAGCAGCAGCAGCACATTATTCTTGAAACTCTAAGTCACTAGACGAACTGCTTCTATACTCCTAATGTACTCAAAACTGCCGACAATTTTTCTAAATAAAATATATTTTGCTAATAAATAAATAAATAAATAAATAAATATAGAATAAAATGAGCGTGTCATCACGTGGCGTGTTACAAATTTACACACAAACTGTCCCACTTGAACCTGTGTCACATGGCGTGGGGTGAGGTGGCGTGTCGCTAGTGGGTTTCGGCCTTAGTGTGCTTGTGACTGATATGCACCGATAGTTATTGTAGTCCAGCTTATTTCATTTTTTATGAATGGATGATATAAAAGCCGTTTTCCAGTGTTGTGGATGTCTATTTAGGCATTTATTGATAATACATGTGAGACCTTTAAAAAGCTTCTCAGTTCGCTATTTCAGCATTTCGGAGTATATCCCTTCTGGGCCACTATCTTTACCTGACTGACTTGAGTCTTTCTTACTGTTTCTTCAGACATCTCAACTACTTATCTATGTACTTCAATATGTCTTGGAGATTCTAATATATATTTCGGTCTACTATCATGTAATAGACCCTTTAGTGTTTTATCCATTGCTCTGGTTTTATAATCTGGATATTAGCTCTGGGCTGGGACTCTGTAACGAATTGAGATATTTTTTCTATCTCTGTTGACGTCCCCTCTCTATTGATTTCGACAAGAGAACAGATGATAGCAAGTGCCATAGCGATAAGGATAAGGATCTCTATCCGTTACAGAGTTCCAGCCCTGTCATTTCCTGGATTTTTGACATTTGATATAAATCTCCATAACTGTAACCATTTCCTTCCTCCTATGTAGTTGTTGATTTCTTCACATTTCTTACCCCATAACTGGTTCTTAGCTATAGTGATGCACGTTCTTAGTTATATTTTTGTATCTTCATAAACTTCAAGGTCTTGTTCATTTTTTGTTGTTAGCCATTTCAAATATTGTTGCTTCTTCTTGTTGGGTTGCTTGTTGGGTGGCTTTAAACTCCTTAATGTAATGTTCTTATAGAGTTTATTGAAGGTACATTCTTCAGGGTTCAATGGTTTGTCGACTCGCCTCTGATATCGAAATACAGTGCTGTCATCTCTAAAACTGTCAAAATTGTAATTTGTTGCATCCACTTTATCCGTTAGTATGGCCTTGGGGGTTTTGTTCCTTTGGGTTCTTGTTGATTTTCCTAAATTGCAACTTCATTTTGGCTCTAACTAAAAAATTATCTGACCCGCAAGTTATTCCTCTTAGGACTCTTACGTCATTCATCTCTGTGTTTGCTTTTTGTTTGCTTATCACATAGTCAATAATAGTTTTCAGGTTACGGGTATTCTGTATCCATGTGTAGCGGTGAATATCTTTGTGTTTGACAAATCCATTGTTTATTCTAAGATTGTGAGTCTCTTAGAGATGTATGGCCTTTGGCCATTACCATTGTTTATTTCTCCTCCAAATGGTCCTACAACTGGCCTCCCATCTTCTATGATTTTTCTATTTCTTCCAATATCTTCTTATCAGTATGGATACCCCTCTAGCTGCTCTCATTTCCTTTGACACCCCAGTAAAAAAATAGATATATTCTCCAACATTTTCGGTGCCGCTTCCTTTTTTCTTGGTTTTGCTCAGTACTACTAAATCGATGTTCAATTTCTGAATTTCTGATGCAATAATATCCGTTCTCAGTCTAATAGCCTGTACATTTCACGTAGCGAAATTTATAGTCCATTTTCATTGCCGTGTTCGTCCTCTTGATGATCCGTTCAACGTTTCGAGGTTTCGCTTAGGTTTTTTGGTGGTTTCATATTTTTCCGAGTATTAGTGAACCAGTGTAATGCCTCAACCCCTATCTTGGAGGACCAGGTAAATTTTTGTTTCACGGTGGGTATTTTATTTTCTCACTACCCTCTGAATCTGTTGGATTACAGACTCAGCGAACTTTCCCTAATTTCCATAGTAACGCACCCAATGGAGGTAACTGACAAATCCCCACACACTGAAAAAATAACCAAAGTGAATAATTATGACTTAGCTACCGTACTCTAGTGTTGCGATTACTGTAGAAACCAGTCAGACCTCACATAAACTACGGACCTACGAACCAATGTGGCATGCTTACCATACCGGCATTGGGTAAGACACATGCAGACATAAGCTGTCTTTTGTATTGGTCAAAGTGTGCTTGATTGAGGAAAGTATCACCTTGCTGCTTGCTGCTTTTAGAACCCCAACAACAAGCCACTAAGGTTAAGACCAGATATGACAATAATTGATAATTTTGCTATTACTAGTATTCCTGGCCGGCATAAAAGCCCACCTATCATGTCAGAAGGATCTCTAGGGGTTTTTGGAACCTATGATCCGATCTCTATCATTATTTTCGGTATCTTCAGTTTTTATTTGTCAAATCTGTTTATATTTTCTCCTTTTTGTTGGATGGTTGAGGATGGTGTGGATGTCGTATTTGTATAGAATTCTCCAAATTGTTCACGCGACGCGCAGATAATTGTATTTTTTGGAATCCGACCGGGCTTTCGAGGCAATTTCGTAACAATATTATCTCACATTTTTTCTCCAAACTGGTGTTAATCCAAATTCTCTTGTCATATATTTACTCTTCAAAATTGACGGTAATGTGTTCTCTGGACAATGATTATGTTGTTCATCTGGAATTATAACGGTGGAGGAAGTAGTAATTAGTGTTTCTCTGCAACAATAAGGCTATCTTGAATGGCATTCCCAATAGGTTCGATTAAATGTTTTGCATTTAATCCTGTAAACAAAATTTTTGTAAGTGAGTTGCGTCTGCTTGGGTCCGGCACAAAAATGAATTATTCCTAAAAATCATCAAAATCAACTTCGTGTCAATACAGTGAATGAAAAAAATATAATAATTGTTTAATCTAAAATTTGAAGAAAAAAAATCCAACAGAAAGCACTTTTCCTAAAACAAATTGTTACAATTTATTATTTTTTAAATCAGATTATGCAGCAATTTTAGTTTATCGATGAAAGAGTGATTTATATATTAATTTTTTTATTATAATTACATTATTACATTACAGTTCAACACTGAAAAGCATTTTTCTACGACTATTGGAGAATTCGTCCATTCCGACTTAGCTTTTGATTACGGAATAGCTTCATTCCCTCACTAGTGCAGGAATATTCATTCCATCACTTGTTATGGAATGAACACCTATGGCGCCATCTAATATAATGAGCTGAAAACACAGGAGAATACAGGAAGATAATCTATTTCTACACCAGCTGCACTACGCAAACTGCAGAAATACTTGGAAAACCTCAAAAATACTATAAAATGCAAGTAAATTACTAAAATCGACGTTTTGTGATAATTGCTAGAGCAAGAAGTGCAGCACAATTGTACTTTGTAGCCTTTTTGATAAAAAGAGGATGGAAAATAGAAAACGCTATTTGACAATGTTGATACTTGACGTATCGTTAAAAGATTAAATTTTGGAGTGCGTTCGAAATTAGACATGGGCTGTTATTGGAAAATAACTGGTTATCGGTTAACCGGTTTATTTTTGTAAGAAAAATAACCTTATACGATTAACTTTTAGTAAATAACCGGTTATCACAATAACCGGTTGAAATTTTCTCTCTCTCTCCACTACTACTACTATCTCTTTCTATATTACACAATTAAACAAAGAAAAACAGCATGTTATTTCTCGCCTTGACGTATGCGAGTTATGACGTCGGAAATGGTGACACACCAATATGGCGACGATTACCAAAAACGAGGTCGATAAGCAGTCCTGTAGGTGTGTATCATCCTTGCATCGAGAAGGGCACTTTTTATTTCTTTTCTCTTTATATTTTGCAAAAATAACCCATGGAAAATTTAAGTTTCCACATGGTTGGATTTTGTTTTTTTTTGTCGCGTGGTCGCGCCATCTCTTATCATAAATATGAAGGTTGGGTAAAAAATGCATTCCATTGGGAATTTTTCAGGAGTTCTTGCGTTCGAATTGTTTGAAATCATGCTATAAGTGGGGACAGATAAGTCAATAGTTTAAGAAAAAAAAATATCGACCGAATAACCGAATGTCGGTTATTGGTAAGTGAATCCGGTTATTAGGTTAAATCTGATGAAAATAATAACCGAAAATAACCGGTTTTTAAACGTTAGGTTAACCGGTTATTGGGATAACCGGTTAATTTATCCCATGCCTATTCGAAATCACCCTATGCGTTCCTATCTGTGTCTGTGGTCCGTTGTTGGTTATTTCATTTGATTTTAGTCGTAGAAAAAGTATAGTCTATAACACGTGTGGAATTCAAAATGCTACACTCGTGTAGAATTTTGCTTATTCCACACTTGTTATAGAATATACTATTTTGAAATCTTGAAAAATGTAATATCCCACAGAGAAAATAATATTCAAGATATTGCCTCACTTTCATATTTTATTTATATAGTATTATAATTTATTAAACGGTTACTGGAATTTGAAGGAACAGCTCGGTTGGCCATTACCAGTACAGATCTAGAATTAATTCACTAGCTGTCGAGTTTGCTATCGCGGTCCTTTTTGTCTATCTGAGCTGGTGAATGTAATAAAGCCGTCTTATGAGGTCTATTTAGGTAATTGTTTCGGTCTAATAATTTGGAAGCAAGTTGATGGCCATTTTTATCCTTAGCTTTGAATACATCAGGGTACTTTTGTATTACTTTAGCTGCTATTATTCTACATGCCTTGATTGAAATCTTGGGAGTGATTGTCCTCATTTCATCAATTATAAATTGAATAAACCGTTTATCAATAACTTTTTTTTTCAGCCTCGCTTCTACAAATGTTGACATTTGGCTCCAAGGAATGTTAAAGTTTTTCCAAACTTCAAGATTCACTTGCGAATTTGAAAATCCAACAGCTCTCGGTATATTTGGGTTATCTTGTTCAGGATTTTGCCGTAGGATACTGCTGTTTTTTGACGGACTAGTTTCTAGAATTACTGAACGTTCTGTTTGGCAAAAAGCTCCTTCAATTGGAACAGGGGCTCTCCACTTTTCCCCCTCCTCTAGTAGCATTAAAATTTCATTCTCGAGCAATAACAAAATTTCTTCCTCGTCTATTATAGTCCCATCTTTTTCTAGAGCTAGTCTATCTCCATTTTTTTGCAGCTTCAAAGAGGCTAAAAAGAATTGAAAGCATATAAGTTATCTTTTGTAAGTTGTTGCTGTTTAATCTTAGAATTTTAATGAATGAAAACGTGCAGTGAATCAAGTACCTGCCTATATCTGAAAATAGATTATTTCTAAAAAACAGTACATTATAAAAGGTACCCACCTTTCCAAATTAATTGACCATATATATCCGCTTCGTCTTTTATAATAACCATAACTCGATTTTCTCTACGGGAGTCCACAACTTTGAATAAATGTACCATCGTACCTTCTACAAACAAAAAAGAAAAATGAAGCGTTAGCAAAAACCAACAAAGAGGCAATATGCAGATCAAATTACTAGTTGTTTTATTTTGTACTGAACGTCGTTCAACAGCCGCTGAGTCAACAAACGATTTGAAACTCATATAATAAGTTTAGTAATGTCCCTAAGCAAAAACAATAATTTTCTTGCAATATGCCAATGGAATCATGAAAGGCATTGAAGTAAATATGGTGCTGCTTGGGTAGCATTTTCTGTAACCACGTTTTGTTAAATGCGATACGATAATGCCAACTGAAAATTCTCCTATTTGATAACGCCTCAAGTCATCTCCTATAACTGCCCCTAGAGAACCCTTCATAATAATATCTCTGATCAAAATCTCTTCCTCCTAAAAACGTTATAAATCAGAAATCAATTGCAAGCCATATGCTTGAAGAGTTCCAATGTCAAACTGGGTACCTACTGGCATGTAATGACTTGACTTGTTGTACCAAATATTTGGCACCAAGCGACCCACCAGAGGTTCTTTTGGAGATTTTTACTGAGAGATAAATTTCGGACACCCCAAAAGGGCGCACTCGCGTTATACTCGAATAAGAACCGCGAGATTCTTCAGTAGTGATTGATCTGGTATACTGGTTCTGGTTTTCGCTCTGGACTGCACTGACGCGATGCAAGAAATCGAGTCTGTAGACTGGATCCGACAACTAGAACATGCCTAGATTGCCTAGAGTGTCGAGATAAACCAAGCATTCGAAAATAACTGAACTAGTAAAGCAGTTCTGGCTTTTGTTTCAGATCCCATACTGCAATAACGAGATGCAAAAACACTGAAACGCGTTTGTAGTTGAATTGAGTGCTATTTTGCCATGATTGTCTCCCAAACTATGTCTAATTTCACACGAACATCAGAAAAAAAACGAAAAGCCCAATTGATCCTATAATTTCAAATAATCACTCTCTGAAAAGACGAACATCAACATATTGAAAATCAGCGACCAATGCTGGACTTTTGTTGACATGGATAATTGTTTTAAATCTAGGGAAAGTAAAAGTTGGAAACCACATAGTTCGGGCAAATTTGAATGGAAAATTCTTTGGATGCAATTGGGACCCTAACTACAATTATAAATGTAGGTTGATAAAAAATGTCAAAATTTTGTTATTGTTTCAAAAATTTTTTTGGCAAAGGAGTTTTTCACTTAAGGATGTAGCCAACACTATGGTTCGATAATAAGATGTTTTTATCATCATGATCATCATTATAGCATGTTTGTATAAGCAAGAGTTAAAAGTCATGATATGTACAGATTCCATCATCAAAAGAAATGATGATCGGGAGAATTATAAGCTATATACTTCAGAATTAATCGGTTACAGTACTAACAACAAAAATTCACAATATCTATAAACAATGGTTAACAACAGAAATAACAGCAAAAACATAAGGAAGACTTCGAATAGCATTGTCAAATCAAAAAAAGAAGAACTATATTGTTATAGCTGAAAAAATGCATAGTAAATTTAAATAATTAAGAAATAAGTTATCAAAATTGAGTTGAAAAGAAACCTCTTGCGAAATACATAACAAAAAGTTGATGAAGAAAACATTTCTGACATGTGGATATCCATGATAGAAAAGATCGCAATATCCAGACGAAAAAAAAACATTTACCTCAGCTTACTAACTCAAAATCTTTGGAGAACCCTGATTAAGATAATAACTTTATCGGAATATTGGCAATTGACTCTTCTACTGATTGAGAAATTCAGTCCTTTTTGAAAAAATAAATGAAAAACAAAACTCTCTAAATAAAATCACGCAATTCAAGCACTGCCACTATACGTCACAAGTGACATTTTTACAGGGTTGCCACTAATTGTCAGCATCAAAAATTTATGATTTATGGCAAAATATCAAGAAAAATAGTTGAATTAATGCATTGATTGATTGATTTGAAAGAAGAGCCTTTACAGGCAGCACGTAGATGCGCATTGTGTTATCCCCCTCCTGGTGAAGCCCTTGTCTTACCTTAGGAGCCGGCAACTATTAAGAAAAGTGCAGACCCGCTCAGGCCGGCCATGCTTCATTTCATCAGGTTCCAGGAAACTGTACCCGAGGTATCATAATCAGCCACTGACGAGGGCGTCACATTCGTGGACTATGGTAGTTTCATCTATTTTGCTGCAGAACCCACATTCCGTCTCATTGCTGAGTCCGATTTTGTGTAGGTGGTATCTGACCACCAGGCAGTAAGCAACCCCAAGAGCAGGCTCAGGCCCAATAAAGGCAGTTTTCCTACCTTACGAGCCAGCTGGTCTGCTACCTCGTAACCTTTTATGCCCCTGTGACCCGGGACCCAAACAAGGATGACCTTGTTGAGCCCACTGAGTTGTTTAAGGGTAGTTATACAGTCAAACGTGAGCCTTGAGTTGACCTTTTCTGAGCCAAGGGCTTGGAGTGCCGCCTGGCTGTCGCTGCATAAATAAAAATGCTTGCCCGAGTAACCTCTCTGGAGATTCTCTTGAGCGCATGCCTGTATGACGTAGATCTCAGTCTGGTATACCATTGGGTATCGACCCAGTGCAAGACTAATTCTCGCCATAGGTCTCTCCCCATATACACCAGCCGTAGTCTAAGTACCAGTCTAAGTACCAGATGAGCCCTTTCGACTTGAGAAAGCCTGGGTCAGGCTCTAGCCAGTCGTCTCTTGTAGGGATGACGACCCTTTATTGTCTTAGAGGGGCTGAAGTTTTTGGCATTGCATCGCTTCTGGTGATCTCAACGTCTTGGTCCCAGCCTTGTGACCAAGGTCCAAGCTGAATAGGATGTGTCTGTGATCCGATAGGGATGGTTCGTCAGGCACTTGCTTACCATCGGGGCCATGGAGAGTGAGCCCAATGTCAAGTCTATCACCTCTTGTCTACGCGAAGTGACAAAGGTCGGTGCGCTGCCACGGTTCAGGATTCCTAAATCCGTGGTGTGAAAGTACTCCAGGAGACTAAGCCCTCTCCGGTTCGTATCGGTGCTGCCTGACACCATGTGTTGTGCGTTGGCAACGCATGGCATGGCATAAGAGCTATTTGGCAGTTCATTCTTCTGAAGACCTCTTCTTGGTGACTCGGTCAACCCAGAAAATTCTTAGGATTCTTCGGTAAATCCACAGTTCAAAGCTCTTGATCCTTTTTACTGTTGCTTCAGGCAACGTCCAAGCCTCGACACCATACAGTACTACTGAAAAAATATAACATTTTATCACTGTCTTCATTTGTGTAAACATTGTTCTGGCCTTTTCTATTTAACACTTTATTTCTTTGGAGTTATTCCACGATTCATTGATGTTGCAACCAAGGCAAGTGATTCTACCCATTCTCTGAATAGCTTTGGTTTGACAGTACAGCACAGGGGACTTACTTATACCCATGTATTTGGTCTTCTTAATATTCAGTTCCAGCCCGTATTGTCACTGCCAGCTAGCAGAATATTGTCATCGGCATATCTGATGTTTTGATTAACTCCCCTTTCAACTTAACGCCATCTACGATATCCTCTTCTTCTTCTTCTGCTTCTTGTGCCCTGTGCAAGCGCGATCTTTAGTAGTATACTTGTGCCATTTGGAGGGTGCCATCTTCTGCTTGAGGAAATATTGTGGCGGCATCTCTTATTCCGCACCAGTCCCTTATGTTCCGAAGCCACGAGTTTTGTTTTCTACCCGAGCCTCGATTACCTTCTATCTTCCCTTGCAAGATCAATTTTGGAATGGAATATCTCGCACCTCTGATAATATGATCAAGATAGGATGGATATCTTTCGTGCCTAATAGAAGGGTCCACATTTCAAACGCCTCTATACGGTTCAGGGTCCTCACTTTTATTGACCATGTCTCTGCAACATATAGGAGAATGGGCCACACGTAGCATTTGACAACCCGAAGACGTAGCTCCATTGGAAGAGTACGGGCAAGCAGAAAGTTTTCCAACTTCCTAAATGTGGTCTTAGCCTGTATAATTCGTATTTGAACTTCTTCATCGCAGTCCCATTTTTGGTTTAGGGTGGCACCCAGATAAACAAAATGCGACACCAGTCTCTTCTGTCAGCTCTAATCACAAAGCTTACATATTGTCGAGTAATAGCCATACCTTTCGTTTTAGATGAGTTAATTGTCCGTCCAAAGTGTTTACCTACTTGGTTTACTCTGTCTACAAGCTGTTGAAGGTCTTCAGGTGAATGCGCTAGTGGGGTAGTATCATCTGCATATTTCATATTATTAATCGGAATTCCGTTGACTTCAATTCCTCTATTATGTTCTTGAAAAGCCAGCTCAAATATCTTTTCCACATAAATATTAAATAAAATTGATGACAGGATGCATCCCTGGCGAACCCCTTTGGATATAGAAAATGTATCAGTAGTGATTTCATTGTTGATTCTTAACTCGGCAGTCTGTTGTGAATAAAGATGTTGGATTATACGGATATCCCTAGAATCTATGCCAATCTCTTGCAACCTAGCTAAAAGAAAATCGTGCTTAATGTTATTAAAAGCTTTTTGATAGTATATAAAACTAATAAACACATCTCGTCTCTGATCATTACATTTCTGGACAAGTAGTTTCATAGAGAAGAGTGCCTCCCTAGTGTCTATAGGCCCTTTATAAAACCAAACTCGGTCCCTCAGCCTATTGCTTCGCACTTATGATATTTTCAAGCATGGATTACTCGGAGAAAGACTTTAAGAGCGTAACTCAATAGACTTATTAGCCTGTAGTCTCCACAGTTTCTGGGGGCAGTTTTTTTAGGAATGGGTACAAAGGTAAACTTGAGCCAATCTGATGGAAATTTACCTGTCATAGATTTTGTTGCATAGATATGTCAGGATTTTTGTATCTAGCGTTTTCAGAACCTCAGCGTGTACATTGTCATGACCAGGGCTTTTTCGATTTTTCATGTTTCTGATAGCTTGTTGAACTTCACTCTCCAGTATGTCTGGCCCAGTTAGTTGTTCTGTTGAGCTGAAGAGGTCTTGCAAGTTGCACTGATCATGAAAAAGCGTTTTCGCGTACTGTTTCCATTCATTGCGCAGGTCATCTGGATTAAGGATGAGTTCTCCATTTTCATTTCTGAGAGATTGATGATCCTTTGATAGATCCAGTTATTTGCTTAATCTTTCGATAAAAGTTAACTTCATGTAGCTCATGGAGTCTCTCAGCCTCCTCACATTCTGCAATGATCCATTGTTCTCTGGCTGCTTTACATTTTCGCTTTATTTTCCGATGTAATTCAGTATACCTTTCAGACAGTTGAGATAGTTTTACACGTCGCCGTTCTTCCATTATATCAAGAATTTCATCCGTCATCCACGGTCTAATCTTGACGCGTTGCTGCTGGTCTAAGACTGTCTCACAGGCATCTTGAAGATTTACTTTACCGTTGTTCCAAATGTCTTCAGGGTTGTCTT